TAAGGGGCAGAAATCTTCTCCTTCCTCACCCCCATTTTCCCTCGAACCGAGATTGTCACGTTGTCGCTTAGTTCGATATCTGAAACCATCCTTGGTTTCTCTCCTCCCACTACTATCTTCTTTCCCTTGACTTTCTCTTTCTCCCCAGTAGCTCTTACCGTACGAGGGGTTGCCTGGGGATCCATCTCCCCCCCACCTCCCGCCCCCGCCAGTAGCCAGATAACCGTCCGATAACCTCCGAAACCCCCCGCGCCGTAAGTTTATTTTCCTTAGTCAACTTATCCATAATGAATATTTAAAGGTAAATCCGTGGACATCGTCAAAGTGGTCATCAAGCCAGATCAGAAAACCGTCCAAATGTATCTAATCATAACCAGAAAACTCACCAAGTCGTCAACGAAAGCCATCCAATAATAAATATTAATAAATATAAATAAATAAATAACTGCTAATGAATAACAAAAATAATAATGAATTAATAAATACATAACTAACAGAATGCACGTTACAATTGCATTCTACATCCTACTCGTCACCACGCAACTCGTATAAAGGCTAGTTACGTAGCGCAACGTCACTTATTTATTCACAAAGAAGTTCGGCTCCAGTAAAATAAAATAAATAAAATAATATATAATAGAACTCTGGGCAACCCGACTTTATTCCATCATAATAAGAACTTACGCCGAGCCGACCGTACATACTCTCGAGCGATGTCCGTAAGGTGGTGACGCCACACATCGAAACGGCGAGCCACCTCACCTGTGCATCGCTCCACGCTAACGCATGCGTCCTAATGCTACCCATCACGGAAATGGCGTCAATTCTACACACGTGCCCTTCTTAATAGTAAAACTATTTCGCATATTTACCGCTTCACAAAGCGACACGCCATCGCGAATGTTATAATAACTCTACAATAATTTAAAAAACAAATCTAACTCGTATAACCGCCCGAAACTGCAATCTCTACGGCGGATAGGGAAGCGTCCCCAGAAAGTGCACGTGTGTGTTCGTATTTAGTGAATATTAATTATTACTAAAATCCTATTATCGCTTATGCATTATCCGCAACGCGTGAATATCTCACATTACACGTTACTCAGTGTGCTGTTAGTTTTATATTGACAAAGCGAAATATCCTCCGTAACCCAAGCAAATGGTGAGAAAAATGATGACAGTGTCACGTAAAATAACAAAATAAAAAAGAAATTTGAGGCGAAAAAAAAAGAAACTTTATTTTTTTCTAACAATAATCCACTTTACAATCCACTTCCGAACTCTAGGCGTGATTTTCCAAGACTGAAGCTCTTACAATTGGACTTTCGATCGGATCCGATCACTTTTTTTCGTCATAACTCAACATCCCCACCGTCCAAACATTTGCTAGGCGTCCGCGACCGTTGCCGCGTGCTCTTTCTTCTAGAACCTTCGGTGGACTGTCGGGATGTTAATGGTTCATTAAGCACTTCAGCGATGTACATTGTCGCCGAGTGCCGCCACATCTTTATCTCCATCGTCAGTCCATCGGATTGAAGTATGCCGGTCGAGACATACCCCCCTGGTTAGATTGATCTTGGTCCTCTAAGATCGTAGTAGAATGGAATTATTTAAATGTAAATCAAAGGATATGTTTACACCCTTTTTTTCAGGGATCGTTATGAATTGATTATCTGCATGTAATGGTACAAAAGTTATTTCGTTAATCTTAAATATAGCAATTTTACAATATTTGATAGTGTTCGAGAAGCTAATAATTTCAGAGGTGTAATCATGTTGTAATTTTCGATCGTGAATTGGTTGGGTTTGTTCACAAAGCGTAATTCCTATTCCGTGAATTTAAAGCAACTAATTAAGGGTATTATTATTAGTGTTAGTGTCAGCATTATCCTGAAAAAAGTACGCTTTCAATCTGTTACCATGTATCTTTTTCTTAGCATTGTCGATAGAAATAGTGTAATAAGGAGTTTTCACATCGTTAATCCTGTAGGGTCCTAACCATTCAATGTCCAACTTATCTCTTTTATGGTTGTTGTGAATTAAAACAAAGTCTCCTTTCCTAAATACGGCCTGAGTTTTAACAATCTTTCTTTCTTGGTCTTGCTTGTATCGTTGCTTATTCTAAATAAATGTTTTGTGAGCTGTTTCCCAATATTTATTCAACTACTTTTGCGAAAGTGAGTACATATCATCATAGGTAAGCGTGGGGAATTTGGATATTGCGGAAGGCAAGTTAGCTTTTCACCCAAAGGTCAATTCAAAGGAAGAGAATCCTGTTCCTTCATGTTTCGCGGTGTTGTACCCTAAACAAATGAAATTAGGTTCTTCGTCCCATTTTTTGGCATTGTCGTGTAATGCAGTACGAATTAAATCTTTAACTTAGGCATGCGTTCTTTCAAGGGATCCGTTACTCTGTGGATGAAATGAAGTTGTTTTGAAGTGTTTGATTTTAAAAGCTTCTCCAAATTTCGTCATTAAATCGCTAACAAAATTTTGTCCCTGGTCTGTCAGGATCGGTTTTGGTGCCGAAAATATGTAAATATAGTGTTCAATGAGCGCGTTAATTATGGATTCAGTTCGTTGCGTTTTAAGGGGAACTAGTATCAGATATTTCGTAAGTTCATCGTGAATTGAAAGTATGTAGTGGTTTCCGCGTTTGATTTTCGTCATCGGTCCTATGATGTCCATAGCGATTTTGTCGTTAGGGTTAAGTGGCGTGTCTGAAATTTGTGGGGATTCTTTGGGTCTCATACGTGTTAGTTTCTGCTTTTGACATGTGTTCGGAAATTTTGAATTTATCCTTGATCCGTTGATACGTTTTCTGTATCCTACGGTACGGTACGGTATGCTATGTCCTACGGTGTTGTTATGGTTCTTCCTTATTGTTTGTAGTATTTCGTTTTCGTCTAGTTTTAAGATGGGATTAGGTGCATAAGTAATTTTCTTGTACGTGTCGTTAAAATACATTAGTATGAGTTTAATCTGCGTTTTCTCTAATTCAGTGAAATCGTTATTTCCTATGCCGACTTTTGTTGTATCTTTAAGAATTTTGTAAAGTCTTCTGGTCCAAAGTATCTCGTCGTATTCTCCTAATTGGTAAAATGTTTGGTCACTCGGTTTAATTTCTAAGAGTTTCGGATTCTCGTTGTTGTCTTTCCATGCGTTGAATGAATTAGTGTGATCAATTACTAGGTCGAGGTTAACTACTTCGTCGCGAGTTAACGCGCGAACTCTAGATAAAGCAGCAGCTGTGTTATCTTTACCCTTTGTACATTCGATTTCATAGTCATATTCTTCGAGTTAAGTCTCCAACGAATCAGTCTGCTAGAAGGGTCTTTGCAATTGTGTAGCCACCTAAGAGCTTGGTGGGCGGTTCGAATAATGAAGCGTCGTCCTAACAAATATTGTCTTAATCTTTTCACGACCCATACGATGGCTAAAAGTTCTTTTTCTGCCGTGGTATAGATTCGTTCGGGTGGATTCAGTGTTCTTGAAACGTAACAACAAGGATGACCGTCCTGTGACAGTATTGCTCCTAGTCCTTCGTTACTTGCATCGGTAGTTAAGGTAAAGGTTTTGTTAAAGTCTAGATAAGCTAATGTTGGGAAACTACAGAGTTTGTCTTTTAAAGTATCAAAGCTAGTCTGGTGTTTGTCAGTCCAATGGAATGGTGTGTCCTTTTTCGTTAAGTCTGTAAGGCTTTTCGCGATTTTGGAAAAGTTTCGAATGAATTTACGGTAATAACCTGCTAAACCTAGGAATGATTTCACGTCCGTGGCATTGCGGGATAATCGAAAGTTTTTTAGAGCGTCTAATTTCTTGGGGTTTGGTTTAACTCCTTCGGGTGAAACTACATGGCCTATGTATTCTAGTTCCGGCTTTACGAATTCACATTTGTCCGGTTGCAACTTAAGTCTTAATTCTCTGAGTCTCTGAAATACTATCGCGAGGTTTTCGTTATGTTCTTGAATCGTTTTTCCGAATATCAATATGTCGTCCAAATAAACACAGCAGTATTTTCCTCTGGTTTAAGGCTCTGTTCATTAATCTTTGAAAGGTAGCGGGTGCGTTTTCAAGTCCGAATGGCATTCGATTGAACTGAAAATGCCCTTGCGGTGTCGAAAAGCGGTACATTGTTTAGATTTCTCGTTCATTGGAATTTGGTGGAATCCTGAGGATAAATCAAGTGCCGAAAAGAATTTTGCGTTTCTTAGTTGTGTTAAAATGTCGTCTATATCAGATAAAGGGTAAGCGTCTTGTTTTGTGGGTTCATTTAGTTTCCTAAAATCGATAACTATCCTCCATTTCTGTTTTCCTGGGGCGTCTAATTTTTTCGGAACTACCCATACCGGAGAGTTATCAGGGCATTCGGATTCTTCTATAATATTTCTCTTCATCATGTCTCCTATTGGTCGTGAAATCTCGTCACGGTGACATTCCGGTAGTCTATACGATCGTGTGTTAATAATTTTGTCTTTGGTTAACGAAATTGTGTGCTGAGTTAAATTAGTACAGGGCAAAAGTTCGATTTCTAAATTAAAGATGTCAATATAATGGAGAATAATCGTTTCGATGAATTCACGGATTGGTTTTTCAATGTGATCGGTTCTCACTAGGCTTTTTAGTTTCGATACGTTGGAAAAGTCATGAGAATTTTGAATATTGCTGGAAATTTCAATGCTTTGCTCACCAGTGTTGATAAAACATACTTTAGTTGGTTTGCCTTCCAAATAGATTGTTTGAACTCTGTTTTCTCCAGGAGTCAAATGTATTGGTTTCTGAAATAAAATGGTTTTGTCGTTTAATCGGATTTTGTCATTGGATATTGAATAGTTATACTTCTCTAAATATGGTAGCCCAATGATTCCGTCTTCGATAAGGGGGAGATTGTTCGGTACTATGTGAAAAATGTGATTTTATCCAAAAATTCGTTTCGTTACGTATTCGTTAGTTTCGTATTTGTCTCGTCCCATAGAAAATGTTTGATTAGACCGTATTTGTATCGCGTTGACAGTTTTGTTACGTTTCACCAGGGTTATCCCTGCTCCTGTGTCGACCAGAAATACTCGCTCTTCGGTTCGGGTTGACAAAGGTATTGCGAGTAGTCTTCCCGTGGCGATGTTGACTCGTATGTCTCGTACGGTTCGTCCATCTCCTGGTTCGATGTTGTTTCTTGTATTTCGTCCCTTTCCTGGACTGCCTGAATCCTTGCGGGTGGTCGGTGGCGCTGGCTCGGTAGTAGAAAATTTTGACACTTGTTGGCAATATATCCCAGCTTTCCGCACTTGAAGCACTTCATCTGCGCGCGTTCAGCAGGTGGTCTATTTTCTATTTGGTTAAATGTAACAGGTTTCTGAGCTACTGGCGTATTAGGCGATCTTGATGGTACATTAGATTGTCTTACCTGCATTGGCTGGTTGTTGGGGCGATTACTGGTGGAAGATAAGCGATTACATTACTAATTAGGTTGTCGTTCTTCTCGCAAGTAGCGTTTTATATCGGCTGCCTTTTTTTCAGCTTCCGAAAGATTCAAGGGTTCACTGCTTAATAGTATTCGCCCTATGTCGTGTCTGAGTCCCATTAGGTACACACGAACAGTTTTCTTCGTGATTTCTTCGGTCATAATCTTACGTGTCAGCGGCTGTGGGTACTCATTGGTTACTGCGTACAGCAAACGGTTGAGTATTCTTCTAAACCGAATATTAAAACTTTGCACTGATTCCTCGCGTCCCTGTCTCAACTCTCGTAATTGTTCTTGGTACTCATCCGAAGTCACTTGTGCTGCTAAATTATTTCTGAGTGCGTCGTTCAGATCACTGTAACACTCAATAGGAATGTTGCGAATACTTTGGTCTGCTTTCGCCACGATCTTTTCCACTTTTATTGCTTTTAGCAATAGATCTTGTTCCATACAGCGATCCTTCATACTTCTCACTTCTTTGATGAAGTCTTCAACTCCTACATCATCATCTCCGTTGAGCGTTGGGATGTAGCGTATTGCATCCTTAGCTCGTAGAGTGGGAGGAACGGGCGGAAAATAGCCTCTTTCTTCCACCTCGGTTTGTTCGATGTCGAGATGGACAGGTGGGATATCTGGAGCTGCTAACCCTGACAGTTTGCGTGCTTTTGCCATATTCCCGGTCCGATCGATTGCTGTCGATACACTTTCTTTGTCTTCGATGGTAATGGAAGCAAAGTCATCGGTCGCAGGGGATCCGAACCCAGTCCGTAGCGTTGCGACGTAGATCTTGCGTAGATCTTCCGTAGATCATGAATGTCTTGTGGTTTCCGAATAAACACTTTTCATTATCCTGGCAGGATCGCCAAAATGTCACGTAAAATAACAAAATAAAAAAAGAAATTTGAGGTGAAAAATAAAAAAAAGGAAACTATTTTTTTCTAACAACAATCCACTTTACAATCCACTTCCGAACTTTAGGCGTGACTTTCCAAGACTGAAGCTCTTACAATTTGACTTTCGATCAGATCCGATTACTTTCTTTTGTCATCCCTCAACATCCCCACTCTCCATGCATTTGCTAGGCGTCCGCGACCGTTGCCACGTACTCTTTCTTCTAGCACCTTCGGTGGAAGGACCGTTGGGATGTTCATGGTTCATTAGGCACTTCAGCGATGCTGCCCGTCACTGGTCCTCGGGGACTTCAACGCCCACTCAATGACGTGGGGCTCCCGCAGGACCAACGGAAGGGGGCACGACGTACAGGACTGGGCGACCGCAATCGACCTCCGGCTTATGAACCGGGGGT